CAGCTGAAACATGCTCGGCCAGCACTGGTGCACCATTTCCCACTCTTTAATAAAGTGCCTTTACCTTTTTCTGCAGGACTGTCTCTCATTTCACATGACCCTCTAAAGCACTCCCCCTTTTATATTCCTTTTCCTCATATTTAGGTATACATGACATTACGGCTAGTTTCACCCGAAGCACATAACAACAGTAACATTTCCTTGCCTTAACAAGAAATGTCTCGTCTGATACACTCTAGAATCACAGTTAATTTTTTTTTTTTCATCTAGTATAGGATGGTCAGTGATCATCCTGTAACCTGCTGTATATTTTGTTTGGCGGCACGGAAAGTGGTTGGGCTTGATGGATGTATCATTCAAAGATTCAATAAGAACACTATAAGATAAGACTTAATGGCTATATTCTGCTGAGATTGCCAGGAAGTGTTACAACTATTGGAAACGCTGAGAGGAATTAGTTGCAGTTATTTAGGTATAAAACCTAACAAAAGTTTACCTCAAGGAAAAAAAAAAAAAAGGAAAGAAAACAGACCTTGGAGATACTGCAGAAGAATAAAGGGCAGGAAATGAACACCCGAGACACGGGGGAATATATGGCTCTCATTTTGCCACAAATATTGGTGAAGAAATCTTTTCTCTTTTTTGAGCTGGAAAACTTTTTCACTGACAGCAGCAGACTATCTTGAAGATTCTTATCTATTTTAATCAGGCTTCTTTTAGCACCTGCTGAAATCTCTCAGAGCTGAGGATTGGCTTAAACACATATGAAAAGGGCCCTGTGGCATGTATTCCTTGACAACAATCTGTTCTCCTCACCTCATAGAGTGTAATGATGCCATTTGTCTCATTTGGAGGCTTCCACTGAACATAGATCTTCTCTTCAAAAGGTCCCCCCTGGATGGATTCCAAGGGAACAGGTCCAGGAACTACAGGGGAGGAAAAAAAAAAACCAGCAAAAAACTGTGTTAGAAGCTACCTCCACCTCCAGTTGCACACACATCAGAAGACACCAAGAGGCCAGACAGGAAGTTCAGAGCTCAAAATAAATAATAATAAAAATAAAATTAAAAAAGACCTCAAGGCACTACGACTACCAAGGCACTATCAATATAACAGGCCTATTCTTAACCTGTGGTTCAAATTAGAATGCCCTAATCTAACTACTAACTGATAAATAAAATTAGAATCCATGAACATAAGCAGCTAATTTCAGTACATCCTTATTCCAGTACAGCATAGCGGCAGCAGGGAATTTAATTTGTCCTTCTCCGCCCACACAACAGCAAAGCTCTATCCACCTAAACAGCCAGATTGCACCTTGGCATAAAGATGCTACTGGGCTGCACACCTTTATCAATATGAGAGATTTATTTCCTTAGTAAAGCAACAATGTAAGATTTATATTTCATTATGGCTACAAGGCCAACTAAAAAATCCACCTACTCCAGCAAAATTTTAATGCTTTGGAAGATAACTAACTAAATGCACTCCCAAACCTGCCTGATAAAAACCTTGTTCACTTTTCTGAAAGATCTGCCACCCTCTTATATCGCCCCCGTATGATATACTGGGCTGCAAGAGGAACTCAGGACAGCAATTCCTTGCAGCTCTGGCAGAGGAAGAGTGCTGCTTTTTTAACGCATTAGACAGAATGGAGGCTTGTAGTCTAGGAGAGTCCTTGGCCTGAAATAGCTCAGATGGGATAATAACAGTTCAAAGCCTTCCATCAGCACTCCCAGAAAACAGTTCTTTTGTATCAAGAACGGAAGAGTTAGCACCAAATGAACGTCGCTTCTGAGCTGTATATATAACGCCAGATCCAGAAGACTGGCATTAAGGGTAAGATACCCTCTGGCAAGGAAGACATGATGCCTCTGTTTGGGACAGTGATGTGAAGGCACGAGAAAACAAGAAAAAAAACAACAAATGCCCGTTTGATAAAGGAAGCTGCTCTTTGGTCCTGGGTAGTTCAGAACGTGACTTCTGTAAAATTAAACCTACCACTGTCGGGTAACTGTTCGGACTGGCCTTGGTCATTTCCAAGCACTTCAGGGAGACCTGCCCTTTCAAAAATATGACTGTGAAATGGGAATTATTTACACCTACAAATTTTACTTGCATAACACACACACACTATCCAGAGAAGCCTTTCGTAAGTCTCATGTGACAGAGGGTTATGTTGTTATTTATGACTTGCAAACATTAGTCTTCCTCCCAAACGCAAGCAAGAAAACCCAACCATAACTTACCATCTTCCTCAGTCTGCACAACCAGCTCCTCACTTTCCATTTTTCCCTCCGGGTTAGAGAGGGCTAACCTCAGCCTGATGGTCATGAAGGGTCGAAGACCTCGCAAGGTGTAGTGGGAAGAAGTTTGGATGAGTTCCTCTGCCTCAAATTTTTGCTGGTTAAACACATACTGGTACTGGACTGTGAGGTTGTAGCTGTGGCAGCGGGTCACCGCGTAACCAAAGGGCTCCCACTGCAACGTCAGCTGCCGGGAGCGAATATCGACGACTTCTACGTTTTGCGGTCCATGGACAGGATCTGTGAAGCAAGCAAAGAAAAAAACCCAACACATAATAATTTGACATTAAAAGACGTCAGTCATGCATTAATATGCTTCCTTCCATATTGCCAGAGTATCTAAGTATTTCACAGTTCTGAATGTTCTTGTCTGTACAATGTAAAAGTGATAGGGAAATGAATGTCAGCTCCACAAATGTATTCTGGCTCCTGATTTTTCTCTGAAAATCCCGTCATACTCCCGATTCCTGTGAAACCTCACTGAATCCGACAATGGCAGCATGATACCCACCAGTTAAGGAAAGTAAAAGTCACACTTTCTTACTTAAAAAAAAAAAAAAAAAGTTGATGGTCTACTTGAAGTGCCTAAATACCTTGGTAAGTCCTGCCTCAGGTGATGCAAATAGACAGGAAAGGGCTGCCAGAGTAGGAATGAACTCAAGTCTCAGCTTTCAATTTAGCAACACAGCCCCTACACCCTCCTGCCGACCCTAAACCCATCCTGCTCAGAGAGGGCAGCACAAAAGCTTTAAGAAGAAGCTGGTAAGAACCAAGATTAACTTGGTTAGTTGCAGACTTCCAACAGTGCCACTGTCCTCTCAATGTTTTGGCAATGGGGCACGTGAACAGGTCGTGCCACTCCTTGAGTAGGTCTTCTGAGTCATCTCAACCTCGTGCCAATAAAACTTTTGTTACAGATCCTATCAATGCCTTGGCCTCACCAAAGTTTCATTGCTCTTTATTATTCTTTCTACAGTATCTGAGGTACAGTTTGAATATTCATGTGCAGGAATCATTTTCACCTGCTGTTCCTTAATTTACTTTTAACAGCATAACTCAAACACTCTGACTACAGACTGCCCTTTATATAAAATATAAATGCATGCGCCGCTAGACATGCAGATACAAAGAATGAAGGATGAGTGAGTAAAATCCGTGCTTGAGATGTGTCACATAGTAGTAATACTACACATGTCATAGTTTGTTTATTCTGACATTTCTTTGACTTGTGTAGCACGTTTGCTTTTTTGCTCAATATATATCTAAGCCAGGTAATTGGAAAATACATAATTTCACATGGAGTTTCTCGATTTATAGCACAACTTAGTGTTTTGCCCACTTCTCATGTTCTCTCACGATTTCAACCTATGAAAGGAGCAGATCATTTTCATGGAAACAAAAAAAAAGTCACCAGGACTTCCAAATATTAGTTACATTCTTTGAAAGAGACTTAAAGTGGAGAAAAAGCCTTCTAGCAATTCTTGAAAGCAAAGCACACACAAGTTGTACTGACTTCAATCTACTAATGCATAAGCAGAAAATACACTATAACAACCAGCATATTCCATACTACATCCAAAAAAACCCCTAGTGACTGGTAATGGGCAAACAGCCACTCCTAAAATGAACACTAATCTGAATCTTTATATAGATACAGATACATGCAGACACTTTTGGAATACGATGGATATTAAGGGAGCAGGGGTCTAAAGCTAGCAACTGGTTTAGGATTCCATCTCAGCTGTGTCATTGCCTGAGCATGCAGAAAACACCTCTTAAATGAGACTCTTGAAGTACTGTGTGTGTCAAAAAATTCTAATTTAGAAATTAGAAAGCTTGTATGCATCAATATACACATACACACTTAGCATTAGGTGATAATCATTCCTTTACTATAAAGTCATGAAAATAACATTTCTGTAGATTAATTGTATAGATAAGTAAGGTGAGCAAAAGAATGGTTCTGTGAAATCTGTCAGCCTCTGAAAGTGTAAAGACAAGCACAAGCCTCATTCCAAGATGCACTGAAAGGAAAGAAACCAAAGGCAGATGCACACGCTCGTCCTTCAGAAGTCTCCATTATACCAGGTAACCTGCTCCAGACCCCAACCCAGAACATGGCTGAGACACGGCAAAAACGTTTCATGCCAAAACAAGGATGCAGCTGAACGTGGCAACTAACCTCCGTGCTAATGTTATAGTGGTTTTTTTAAATTACAGTTATTTTCTTTAAGTCAGTCATGTTATGGAATGAATGGCTAATTAGAGGGTGTTTGGTTTATGAGCTGACTTTATCAGTGGGTAAGGGACAACTCTGATTGAGCATCATCTCACAAAGTCATATATCCAAAACCTGGACTATGGAAGATTCTCTGCATTTTTTAGTTTGCTTTCTCATTTTGTTCACATTTACCCTTTTCTTTCTTACTCAAAATCCTAAGTCTCAGGAACTGCTTTATAGCAACCAGTTTCTAATTCTACTCAAAACTTTACTGCAAATGCTCTAAGATACATCCTGAGGCCTTTCTTTAGTTTTTCAACACAATATTTTCAATACAGTAACCGGTCTATTAACAGATTACTTTGAGTTGCAAAGTGAGAAATTAAAATACAAATTCCAAATATAGTCCAGACACCACTGTGCAATCACAGAACACACCACATTCTCCCAAGATCTGTTCTCAGGCTGATGATCTTCAAATGTGAGATTTTTCAGTGAAAAAAATGAGATCACGATGCTGTAGCTCATAGTGAAAGCAGGAACGGGATGTAGGTTTCAGAAATACCCGTAGCCTGAGGAGTCTCTGCCAGCAGGTGCAGAGATTTGACATCTACTGGCCTTCTAGATTTTTGAGCAAAGGGGGAAAAAATAAGTAAGTAAAAACTATTTAAAGTTTAGGTTCAGAGAGGAAGAAACCAAACTGGAATTAAATCGACAAATAGAAGCTGGACCTGGAAATCTTTATATTCTCTCTGGTTCCCTTCTCTCAGTTTCCATCTCCTTTTTCTGAAAACCGAGACTATGTAATTTTGAAAATGTTTTCCTGTTGCCACACTGATTTCCTCTGCAGCGTAAGCCACTGAAACTCATTTTCAAAGGGGAGATTTTGCACCGTTGTTTTTGAAGGACAGTGGTCCTACTACCTTCTCCATTTAACTCCTTCCATATTTTAGCTTTGTTAAGCACACAATCTCAAAACGTCTGTAGTACCTGTCCCTTGGACTCTACTGTCTAACATCACCCATGTTTCATTATGTGTAATGACTTATTTTCCCCTGAAAGAAACAAGAAAACTAAAATTGTTTATAATTGTTCTACAATCCTCTAGTAGTGGCGAATATTCGAAACTGGACAAACTGTTCCATTTTTGTATTCTTGGAATTATAGCTTCCAAACAATGCAAGAAAAAAAACTGAAAATTCTTAACCTTGCACTTGGGTAGTGTAGGAAAAGCCACCAATACGTATCTCAACTTCAGCAATACAAAAACACCTCCCAAAACAAGGCAGAAACAGACTACTCCAATTTGAATAGAGATCATATATAAAAAGACATTGGTGCATGTTGCATAAAACAATGTAAAATTTTCTAAGTGTCCTGAGACCTTGGAAAAAACAAAGGAAATTCTTAAGAGGCAGGAGCAACAAAACAGCTGCCTCCAATCTACTAAAACTAGTCTTGAAGCCATGCCAAGAAAATTGCAGTCTCTGGGATTTCACTGTGCAAATGCTGCATTTTTATTCCAGCCTGGTTGAACTACTCACTACATTTTGAAAGTTCACATCAAAATCAAGGACTATCCAGTATTTTTTAATACCGTATATCCCACTGATGCTTCAATACCTATCACTTCCCTGGCAGGCTGCTGCAAACACTCAGCAGGACGGGAACCTTTCTGAAGCACTTGTGATGTGTAAGCGGCCCGAATGGAAGCAAACTCTCCTGGTGATCCTTCAGCTGTGCTCTCAGTTCTCAGTCCAGGCAAGCTGACATTTTTGACCCAACAGTGACCTGCAATGTTCCGAGACTGCGTTTTCTGCTACCACAATTTTACAGAAAAGTTGAATTTTATGCCTGGTTTTGCTCTTTCCTTACTGAGTATCACAAATTTCATTTTGTTCATTGTAGTCTTCTTGCTCAAGGTGAGATGTAGAAAGGTAAAGGTTGATTTAGATTATTAACAACAATTGTCTCTGCTTTACACCCCTCCATCAAGAGAAGAACAGAGAGGAAAGGAAGCAACAGTGAAGTACTGGGGTTTGAACACGAAGCTCAAGTTGAGCAGTGAAGTTAACTAGAGACACTCAGCTGTTGACCCCAGGTTAAGTACCTGCTGCAGGAGCCTAATTGCAAGAAATTATTGCCATCAGTAAAGACATGACACTGAGCAGAAGATGTCCATACTTGTCTGAGCCCCCATGCCCATGTCTCCTGACCCCATGGAGAGCAGGAGGCAGAGTTTATTAGCAGTGCGGGTGTCCACTGATTAAATTCTGTTTCCCAGCAGTAGGTTACAGAGACTAAGAATGCACAAAGGGAAGAAAAATGTGTGTGACAGGTACAGCAGCTTTCTCTGAGTCCTGAACAGATGTTTTCAGATAAAGAAAGAGGAGGAAAATAGGTGTGAGCCTGATTCCTGTCTTCCCCTCAACACACCCACACCTGAGCTCATCAGCCAGTCATGCCAACCAGACCACATCGACCAACATCTGGGCACCCCAGTAGGGTCCCCATCTCTTCTTCCTAGGCAGACTGGAAGAAGACTGGGTGGATAGGTAGTTGAAATTATCAAGACCAAAACTTGTGTTATCCCAACTACCTCTCTCTGTAGCCCAGAAAAATATTTAAATTCATTTTCATTTACAAAATATAAAACTGTTAGTATCACAGAATGGTTGAGAACTTCACAGAATATTTCTCTCTCACACTAAATCGCAACAGCGGCCATTTCTCATGCAACAGCAACAAAACTCCTCATGGCAGTGAATCAGCAGTTACGCTCTTGCCTTTGTGTTTTTCAAAGATGTTTTCTTGTTCTACAGATGGAAAACCAAACAGTAATTCGTATGACAATGATTTTTCTCCAGGTATTAGATAGGAGTTGAAGCCTTCTCTATCTCACCTTTATTCCCTAATCCTCCTCTTCCTCCTCAAATTTCCACGGGTTGAAACAAGTCTGGGAAACATACCTACTATCAAAAACCATAGCAAGATAAGCAGAGCAAAAGCATTCAAGTGGTTTGCCTTAAAGGCACAATTCAAGCGTCTGTGATGGTTCAGAACAAAACAACCAGCTCTGCAGCGCGTGTTCATCTCTTCAAAGAGATTCTGACAGATGAGTTGGTCTATGAACACCTTTTGTATCAATGTCCTATTCATGGACATTTCAGAATGACGGACAACTCCGTCCATCCCTGAAGAGCAGCACGTCTTTCTGTGACAGGGTTCCTTTGCGGAGCGTCACAACTCACACAGCTGCTGCCCATCATATTTCAATGCCTCTGAGTCTGAATGTGGTATAAATGCCTTTTCAGACATGACAGATAAAAACACTGATTAAATAGAGTGCACCAGGCTTTCCATACTATCAAAGTGTTTTGGCTTTGCCCTTTTCTGCAGAAAAAACATCTCCCTAATATTTGGATCTAATTTTATTTTCTTTTTTAAACCAGTTCGGATACCATCACTGGTCTGAAGACAGTGCAGGCAAAGCTGAAAGCAGGCAATTATACAGAAAGGCATGTTCTGAGAGAAGACTTGCAACAGAAAAAAGAGAAAAAAGGAGCTAGACTGATACAATAAAATCACCACAGAACAAATAACCTGTTTGTTGAGATACCTAAAATCAACTAAACTCCAAGACACACACGAAGAAACAGGTGTCATTACAGCTGACAAACTAAAATAGGCTATTTTATGCTATTCTCTGAGCAAGGAAGAAGGAGGAGCCCTGCCACACAGATGAATCTATTATAAAAGAAAGATGAAATAAGTTAGATAATGGAGTAATGTGCTTAGAGAAGCCAGGGACTGAGCTCTCTCAACAGTTAATGTGATCATTTCACTTCAGTTCACAGCGCATCAACTTCATTGTTTGATTGATCTAGTTTTGTTTCAGTTGCAAATTTCACTTTGAGTTCTGCACTGAAAGAAACCCAAGATTTCAAAAAAAGGGAAAACATTTGATACATCACAAATCTCATCAAACATCCTCTGATCTCATAGTTCAACCTTGTTAACAAAAAAAAAAAAAAAAAGAAAAATCAACCCAAATGCCTTTAAACTGAGCCCAGGTCTATCTGATGTTTGAGAAACTCAGCAGACCTTTCAGTTTGTTACAGAACGTGTCTGTCGTGCTCATGGACTAGAAGTCCACACGTTGGCACGTGCCCAAAGTCGCATGGAAAGCAAAGGCTACTGGAGAGCAGGAGCAGAACCGGACAGCACGGGTGGCTGAGCCAGCGCTGTGCCCGCCGCAGCACGACCCACCTGTGCTTCCTCTAGCTGACACCCGGAGCACAGCCAGATCTTCACTTGTAAACAACTTCAAGATAATTAAGTACTAGTTTTTCAAACAGGTTTATTAGCATCTGTTTAAATGGATTCTTGTTTTCATTGTATTACGAAAGGGTAGTGTTCTCCCTCTTTTACCTAGAACTATTGTTCCCTAACAAACTTAAAAATAATAATTTAAAACAATAATAAAGGGTAATTACTGGTTTTATTAAAAACATCTATCCTGGATACACATAGCAGTGGTATTCCATGGCTGGGAACAAAATGTACATTATTGAGCATTTTGATGATTAAATACAAAAGCATAATTAAATATGCCAATGAAAGTGAGATTACAAAGCAGTTAAACCATTTGTCACACAAAAGTAAAATGTGTGCTTTTCAAAAATTTATTTTATTATGTGTAAATAAAATATTTATTTTAACTATTTATTTCACTATCACGCATGTGCATTTATTTTTATTACCACTTCCTCTGTGTACTTCTGCTGTTATCTTCAAATGGAATAAGTGGAAGAGATTAGAATAACATATAAGCTAGTTCCTGGCAAGACATAAATTATCTCCATAAAAATAAATAAGGTAATCAAAACAGTAGGTAAAAGAGAGGCTTCCTCCACACAGTCACGGGTCTGTTGAATCATTCTGAGCAGCAGAGAGAAAGGCATTGCTCTTGCAGATAGGCTTCGCCTCATTTGTAACTGTGGCTTCCTTTCACGTCTGTGCAATCTGCAAGATAAATTCTCTGTGTTCTTTCGGAAGTTTGTCTTTCAAAAACCAAAATTAAAAAAAAAACACTTTAATTTTCCAGTTTAAACTCTTGATTTAGCAGAAGGTGCTCCCAGCGAATGAAGCATTGGCTTTGCAGGAGCTATTGAAATATCCTCATGGCCCGAAACCACCTGAGGCTTGTGCATTTCCCTCAAAGCAGCAGCGACTCCCTTTATCACCAGATACGGGTACTGGTACATGAGGAATCTGTTTATGATGGGGACTGGCTGATGACATCTAGAGGGATTTTCTCTCTACAGCACGCTATATTGGCAGAAAAAAAAAACAAAACACACACACAAAAAACCACAAATCAACAATGTTTTCAACTGCTAAGAATGCTGAGATTGGGTAATTACTTAGAGCAAAGTAGAATACGTCACAACCATAATAATAAGGTTAGACAAATGGTGAGTCCTCAGGAGTGGGTGGTTGGAAATTCAGCTACTGGAAAAGAGGACAGAGACTGTAATTCTGTGTCAACCAGTTTCTTTTCCCAGTTAATCCCTTAACTAGACCAAGAGACTTTCAAATTCCTGCAGCTGAGTACTGGCTGGAATGTATTCCAGAAACACATTTTTAGAAAGGTACCATTTACCAGCTGTTTAATTCTAATTTCATGCTCATGTCTTCCTTCCACCAGAGCATTGAGTCAGCAATGCAATGCCATTAATGGCATGGCTGGTTAGCTGTTACGTCAATGTACATATTTGAACAAATGCTCATTTCCAAATGCTATAGACACTCTTTGGGATAGTGGGGGACAGATAAAAGCTTGCTCTGAACGAAATCCATGCACTGCATTTAGCCCAATAATTGCCCTTTTCCTAGGATATGGTTGCACTTTTATCTTAAACAAGAACACAGCAGAGTAACTTTATGCCAGAGGAAAGTGCAAGGAGAGCAGAGTGAAAGAGACAGGACCAGCACTTCCTTAAGACCATTTATATCTGATCAGCATGCCACTAAGAAAATACTCTTAAAGGATTTCCATACAGGCATTACGTACCAGAAAACACAGATAAAGCACTTGTTCAGAAACACCACAGCTAGGATCCTTAGCGTAATCCGAACATTCACGCCGCAGTGTCAGGATTACAGCAATGTGGCTAATAAACCCAACACACGTTTTTAAAAGTCTGATTGAAATCCAAGTCTTTCTTTTAGCTCAAGTACACCTTTTCAAATTCAGCAGCCTTCTCTTTTTTTTTTTTTTTTAATGCAACTGGATTAATTGCCTGCTCAGAAAATGACTCAATTTTAAACGATTCCTAGTACCTGTAATCTCCCCGCTGCCACAGGGCCCCACTGTACGACTACGGGTTTCTATTATCAGACACGCTCCAGGTTTGCTCACTGTGTGCCCTACACTGCAGGAGGCATCAGCAGCCTTCTCTTTTTTTTTTTTTTTTAATGCAACTGGATTAATTGCCTGCTCAGAAAATGACTCAATTTTAAACGATTCCTAGTACCTGTAATCTCCCCGCTGCCACAGGGCCCCACTGTACGACTACGGGTTTCTATTATCAGACACGCTCCAGGTTTGCTCACTGTGTGCCCTACACTGCAGGAGGCACGGATCTGCACTGGCCACGGCACGGATCCGCCCTGGCCAACGGCACCTGTACGACTACGGGTTTCTATTATCAGACACGCTCCAGGTTTGCTCACTGTGTGCCCTACACTGCAGGAGGCACGGATCCGCACTGGCCACGGCACGGATCCGCACTGGCCACGGCACGGATCCCACAGGATGTGGTGAACTCTGCACTAGGCTCACAGTAGAGCTGATTTTATCCAGGAAAATCCTCCAAGGGAACTTCAGATCACTGTCTTCATAAACTTCGAGGAACATTTTGTTATCTAAAAGAAAAAAAAAAAACAAACAAAAGAGCCCCCCAAACCAACCGCCAAGAAGCAGGATCTTTCACCAAGAAATATCAAATTATTGCCATTCTCTTTTGCTCAATACTGTATTCTAACGTCTTCTAAAAGAAAGCTGTAACTTCCCATTCCATAATCCCTGTTTGCTGTGCAGGCCTGGACACATCCTCTAAACCCCTTCGCAGCTCATTTGCATAGCAAAGCAAGCAATTAGCAGTCAGCCACAGTTTTACAAGAGTATTAGCACAATTTAATTAACAGTCATGGAAGTCGCTTACAAGGGACAACTGGCATGGACTCGTGCATGTGCCCACACGCACACAGCCTCCCTCCAGCCAGCCCTGCCTGAGGAACACGACAGCTCCTTGGAGAACGAACGCACAGTCTGCCACCAGGAAACTTTCTGCAGTTTTCAGAAGGGAAACAGATGAAGGACATAAAGACCGATATCCATGCAAAGCGTCTTGGTGTTCAGTTTTCAACCTTTCCCATAAAGCCCTACACTGATCCATTTATCTTGGAGCTAAAAAACTGAGCCCTAGTTTTAATGAGCACAGGAAAGTCAACCTTGATGGACTCACAGGTACAGGCATCGCTCTGGACTGTCTATATGACAGAAAATGGTCGTGTCCTCATTTACAGGCACATGGAATTGCGGAGGCAGATTCACAACTCTGCTTACTTTCTTCATCTCTCACAGGTAGGAGCAGGGAACTGGTCTCACTAGCTGGGAAATCAGATTCACCATGGCCAAAGAGCTGTGTGTTACTACAACCAACAACTCCGACACGAAACCGACCCAGACCTTGGGCTGGCTGACTCCTTGCACATGGATCGCAGCTGGTTTGCAAAGAGCCACGTCTGGTTCTGGGGGTGCCTTGCCCTCATCTTTGGGCTCTGAAACGCACAGACGGTGAAACGAGGTTTATGGCACTATTTAAAATTACAATGCTAATGAGCAAGTTAGTTAGTCATGCTCTAGAAGTTAGGGAAAGGCTCCTTTGTCCACATCAAGATCTTTATACTTTAGAATGTTTTCCTCTGGGTGAATGAAGACTCTTGCACTGGCAATTTCTTACTGCATGTAAATAATAATAATAAAGAAACCCTGAAGTGGAAAAAAGGCAGTGTGTTTTGTTTTCTCCAACTATGGCTTGATTCTTTGCTGCCATGGCTTTAACAACAAGGCTAGAAGGAAGTAGGTGAGCATTCATGTGTGAAAAAAAGCCTATGTTTTTAACAGAATTAGGCAGCTGAGCTCATTTCCACCCCATTAGGATCAGTCTATGAGACAGTGCTGCCAATGAAAGCGCAAGAGATTAGTTTTCCCCTCGCTAGCTTAAGCAATGCTCTGGGCACCACATACAGATCACGACACTTTTCAGGGATATTGCAAAGCTCGTGCAGGGAACTGATCCAGATCCTGCCTTTCAATTTCTCAGCAAAGCCATTTCCACACAAACGCACCACTGTGCCCTGAAAGAGTTTATTTTGAAATGGAAAGAGGAGAAAGGAGGTAGATGCTTATTGGAAATCTATTTGCTGAAAGTGTGTTAAGGAAAGCTAAGAGTTTCTAAGAAAAGATCTGTTAATATGTCACCAAAACATTCCTATAACTACTGCCACAGCTTGGCACCACAGGTCTGCAAGTTGTAACAGCATCTATAGTGAGATACACTTTTAGTTCCTTTAATATATAATTGAATTTATATAAAGAAAATACTGTGTTCCTAATTTAATTTTCCTCTAATATTCCTATCTAGAATAAGTGCTGGAAAAGTCTATTTGATGGTTGGTTGTCCTCCAGCTGTTAATGATCTCCTTCTGTTCAGAGCAGAGGGCGAGAAAGGAGGGCAGAGAAAAAATAGTTACTGCTTTGCTATTAAAATAACAATATTCCCACCAGAGATGTGTTAGCATTTGTTCCCTAGATAGTTATAATTCATCTCTAGAAGCAGAAGATTAGAAACATCTGGGATCTCCAACTGGCATCCACCCAGCTCTACTTTCTGAAAATTTACAGATACAACTACTTCCCCTTCACTCTTAAGCCTCAGGAAACCTTCCATGAAACTTCAAATCCAAGAGCATTACAGCTACAAAGTGAAGCCATCAAGCGTTGGGTCCAGCTAGCATTAATGTTGCACGTGCAACGGGAATTTTGTATTATTTCAGCCTCTGCACTGCGCCCCAGGACTTCTACAAAATTTTAAGAGTCTACAGTATCAGGGGACTCCAAAAGTGCCCATCTCACCCCCTCAGTACCCTGGTGTCATACGGGAGCCCAAGTCTCCCCCTTTAAAGGTAAAAGGGTACATGAAAACCCATGTGTTCAGGCCTGACCATCACAGTACCCAAGAATCGTTGTGCCTCTTGCCCATGGACTACTATAGACTGAGACCGTGTTTTCTCCCCCAGGAGCACTGCCTCCCCCACGTACACAAAATATCTTTAGCTTTATGTAAAGCAGATGCAAATGCTGGCACAGCCTGGCCATTCAGAGAACTAACTAATGGTCTGACTAGCAGATAGCAGTAGATTGCAGCCATTTATGTCTTCAGCTGTGTCAGCGGGTAGCAAAAGAGTCACAAGACTTAATTCTGGTTATGGTTTTGAAAACATTTTCTACCAACCACCTGTTCTTCTACTCCTTCATTCTCCTTGTTCCTTAGCCCTCACTAACACTGTTTCTTCTGCCTACCTCAGCCCAGTCTTTTCTCCACTCCAGCACTTCCATACTCAAAGGCCTCAACTACATCTGCTCCTAAGACTTCTTATTCCAGTCTGAGTTGCCACTGCATCCCAATCCACTCTCCTTCAGGGACTGCAGCTCCTTATCAGACTGGGTTCCTGATCCCTGTCAGTCACTGGCTCTTAGTCTCAGACCTTGCTCATATGTTCCTCCTCCATCCTTAAAAGACATCCCAGCTCCCTCTACTGCTCTTCCTGCCCAGCTGCCCTACACAATCGTCTTTCCTACCTTCTTCTCCCAACTCCTCTCTAAACCCACTTCCCTTCTGAAAACACTTCTCATCAGCTCTAAGTTCAAGTCCAGCATGTTTCTCCTCTAGACTGACTACAGACAACAGGGAAACCATTTGCACTACAGGATTAAGGATCCTTTCACTTCTAATATTGAATTTAACCTTGGACAGGACAAGAGCAAAACAGAGCAACTGAAGTCTTTTGAAAATTTAGCTACTACCATCTGTGAACTTTTTACTGCATACACAGGGACTAAAATTTTTCCATTTCATCTAATTCAATCATACAGACAGATCATGGTGGGTTTTCATGTTGACAGGAGAAAAAAGAACAAACCCCAGAAAACCCAATCACCCAGAAAACCTACCACACTCCAGAGGGAAATGTTAGCCTTAGAGATACGTCAATTGCTTCCTCCAGAAGATGTAGGCTTAAGCTTAAAAACTGAATAAGCATGACCAAAACTTATGTTCCCTTTATTTCCTTCCCGGATATGGTTGAAGATTTCCAAAGTGTTCATCATGCTGGGAGTTTGCTTACCTTTAAGATTTTTCAGCCAAAATGACAAAGTTTGACAGACTCTAAAGAAATGGTCCTTACGTAGGACCAGAGAAAGTTTCAGATCGTACCACCTGCTCCACATCCAACCTTTCTGGGTATTTTCTCTTTGCATCACAGTCTGGGTGATGAAAAGGGGCTTAATCAATATTCTGAGGCAAAATTCCTGTGTAGTCAAACCCAGTCAAAGCTACATACAAGAGAGTAACGTTCAATTTGTTTTCATATTTAGACTTTAAGAACCTGGAACATGGATTGCCTTTCTCTATGTGCCTATCACAGCACCTCACACAAAGGTGAGGGGGACTATCAAAATGTTTATTACAGAATGCATATGAAATTGTAAAAAAAAATGAATAATAATGTATAAAAAAGAATATAAGATCCAAGATCACTGGAAAACACTGCAGAAAAAAAGAAATACAAAGGACCCAAAATTCCTCTGCACATCACATCCAGATACAAAAACTCTCAACAGAGGAAGCTTGGCTAGCCACTGCCTACGTTACTCCTGTGTCTCATGGAAGCACTAGCCCTTTGCTTTCACTATACTTCCCAAAAGAACCCAAAAATAAAAAGACAGTAGCTGGCTCTCAGCACTCAGTTAAGATTTAGGATGTCAACTGAAGGAAGTGAAAAGCTGTTCTTGTTTTGTGATATTCAGAGAGTCTGTCTGCCTTATTCATTGTCCATCTTCTCCCACCTAGACACCACCATCTGTATGAGAGTACAAGACCACCTAATGGAAACCCAACAGCTTGGGGAAGTGTTAGGTTCCAGCATACTCACCAAAATAAATTCTCCTGTGAGAGCAGTTTATTGATTTGTATATTTGACTCTCTTTGGAATTATTGTTCAATTGCTTTTATCCTCTGAGATGAAAGCAGCTGAATGTAACATCAAAAATGGATAAAGTTGGATGTTTCAATTTTTCTTTCAAATCTGCATAATATCATTACACATTCGATTTTCGAGAGAGCCCTCTGCAAATAACAGTGGAAGGTAACTCCATCAGACATACAGCTGTCATCTACGTTTTCTCTAATTATTCTGGCTTCCCTGTAAAGCACATTATTTGTCCTTGAGCAAGTGACAGTCTGCAGAAGCTATCTGACTACATCTCCTTTTATCAGGTTGAGTTGCTTGCTAGTGGTTGATGTGATTAGTAATTTATCACCACTTATAAATACAAATACAGCATATAATTTCCACGACTAATTTGCAGTAACACTGCAGATCTTAAAGCATGGTGGTGGTCAAGAGTTGAAGAAAATGTCATTTTGCTGGTCTGTGTTTCTTCTTCACTAAAAGTTTTTCATGCTCCGCTTGCAAGAAAAAAAGATATTTTTAATTGCCAAGCTCTGTTTTCCCTATGGGACATGGACTCACATAAGTTTTGTTTCGCTGCACACATCACAACCAATGCAGCAACTGGA